ATCATTTAGTTGACCGATTTCTCGATTCAACAGTCAGTTTGGCCCAGTTTTTAAAACAATAATAGTTGATATTATATTTATTTATTTTTTAAATTTTATTGACCTCTACAGTATATTTTATTTTTTTATCAACCAATATAATTATAATAAAAATAAAATAATTATATTTTAAATATATTATTATTTTTTAAAAATATTTGAAACATAGAAAACATTATATTATAATTAATTTTTTTTAATATATTAATAACAATGCAAAATTAAATATGTTTGAATTTATATATATGGTATTTAAATTTATGTTTTTGTTATATTAAAAACTATATAAATATTTATTAACTTATTTAAAATATATATATATATATATAATTAACTAGTCATATCAACATAGAACGACCGATATCCCCTTTTCATCTCCAGCAAATCGGCTCAATTTGCGGCCGAATTTCTTCCAATTAATTTGAGTGCCTTCCTCCGGCAAGGCTTGGAGACGCGTCGGTTACCGGTTCCAGCTGGAGCGACCTTCCCTTCAGTTTTCGCGTTGATGTCCGCTACTTCGGGGAGGGAGGAGGAGGACATCCTAGTGGTCTCGCCCTGCTTTGGCGCCGTCCGGGGAGGAGTCTGTTCGTCTATATTTTTAAAGCTCGATTGCAAGTGTACGGCTTCGCTCATAGTATGTGGCAAGCAAGGTCGTTTCCCAAAAGACCAAATAATTACTATATCAAGTACAAGATTATGATAGTGTCAACTTTATTTAGACGATCGAATATGAGATGCATTAGCTAAGCTAAGAAAATAAATCAAATGGAATAAAGCCAAAATAAAGAACTAGCAAAAACACATGAGAAAATATATGGGAATGATAGATTCTAAGACATTGGGTTCAATTAACAGTTAGAATTTTTCAGAAATATCACAACTAAATGTTTCCTTTATCTACCCTATAAGATGATCACAAATTTAGTATACGTCCCTCTCGAGATCGATAAAACCGTAGATTAAATCATATAAATTAGCGTCTCCACTCAACACATGCAATTCAACTCCAAATAGAACAAAAGATTAATATCCTCACAACGACCTATTAATCTCTCGATTCAAGCAAGTAAATTGTGTCAAATATTAAAGACCTAAATATTGAACTCATCTCTCGAATTATGAACAATATTGTCAAACATGCAAAAGCGTTGGCCAAGTGCTAAACATGAAATAAAAACAAAATATTTGAATAGGGTTTAAAAGAAAAACAATTACTTATAAATAAATCATCCAAAATCACAACATATTAATCTCCTACCAAGTCTTAGAATCGAATAAATCTATCCACTCATGTTTGAATTCAAATACATAGACATATTAGAAATCAACATGATCAATAAAAGTTTAAAAGGAAAGAAGAAATAAAAACTAGGAATCTCGTCGATCTTTCAATCTCCTTGATCCCTTTGTAGTTGGTCTTCTTCTTGTTTCCCAATTGCTTCTCTTGTGTGTTCTAGGGCTCTTCCTTTTGCGTATTCACGTTCTTCCCTTCAAAATAAGGTAAATATGTTTTTTTATATGTCCAAAAGCCTTCTCATTATCCAAAAAGACAAGATATAAAAATCTGCCTGCGCAAGCGACACGGTCAGTCTGCCCGTGTCACTGGCCATGTCGCATATCGTGTTAGCTCTAAGGATTCGAAATCCCCGAGTTAGGTGACACGACCTCTGACACGGGCATGATGCCCGTGTCACTGCCTGTGTCACAAATCTGCACTCTAATTTTCGCTCATTTCACTCGTTTCTTTCATTCTTTTCATCCGTACATCAATCTTTCATCATCCCGGAGTTCCTAGGTACCCACCATGCGCCTCCTGTTGTGAGTATTTTTACCCGAGTAGAATCGAAAGATTCGTTCCCCGGGTCGTATCGCAATGAAGGTTAGCCGGATTCAATTGCACGATTATTCAATCACGAAAAAGAAAAGAAAAATTCCTAAACACTCTATTCAATATTTTTGGAGTTTTAATTATCAGCTAAAGATTTAAAACTAATGCAAACGAATTAAATAGCAAGTGAATAAACTCAAATGATTAAAGAGCTAGGGAATCGGGGATAATTGCTTTCGGTTCTAACACAACTACCGGCAATTAATTGCTCGGTTAAAGGACTTGAATCGTTTCTCGTCCAGAGGCTCACTCTCAATAACTCTTCGTAACAAGAGAGTGAACGTACACGATCAACTATCAATTCCAATTACCCATAGACAATACTATTACGAACAAGTCTATTCTAACCAAGCCTATATCGATCAACGTCTCCCCTCTCGGTTCTAAACGTTGATTATTTAGGTTAGAAAGGTGATCAAACTACTAACCCTAGAATAAAAACAACTTGAATAGATATGAACAATTAAGAACAAGCAATTATAATCGAACCTAATCAATCATCCCCTATCCCTAGCGTATAGATTTAGCTACTCATGTGGAACTCAACATCAAAATTCATACAAACCCAAGCCATCATCATCAATCACACAATTGAGAAAAGAAAAACTTACGATTAATAACGAATCCCAATGTCAAATCCACAGAACAATCCAAATCCAAGCAAGAAGTAGAGTTTTAATCTCCAAAATTCAATCCAAAGAGCAAAAGTATGAAAAGGAATGAGTTTCTAGAGTGAATAATGGTGTCTAGGTCGAAAATCTGATCTAAAAATCCCGACCTCGAAATTCGCGCCGAGCAAGTCGCGAGTCGTGACCTAAGTCGGGAGTCGCGACTTACCAAAAATCCATCTCGCGAGTCGCGAAATCTTGCGAGCCGCGCGTCGGCAAAAATTTGTAAAATCTGGGGAAGTTCGCGAGCTAACTCGCGAGTCGCGACATCATCTCGCGAGTCGTGACATTGACTCGTGAGTCGCGACTCGTATCGTGAAAGTCTTCAATTCGTCTATGTTGGACTCGCGGGTCGTGACTATCTCGCGAGTCGCGACCAACTCGCGAGTCGCGACCATGACTCGCGAGTCGCGAGATGTCCTGGGCAGCTTTTCAGTCCGTTTTTCTGGTCCTTCCTTCAGCATTCTAAGCACGTCAATGGGTATTCTTGGTATCCCGATCTCAGCTCAAGTAGTCCCGTCCTCGATCGACACAACCTACCTCCTGAAAACACAAACACGAAGAAAACACGAAGCAAAACACAGCAAAAAGACGCACATAATGAACTAAAGAGAGAAACGAAAAAATCACAGAATTGGACCAAATAAACTACGAAAATCCTATAAGTGGGGAAAAATAAAGAGAAAATAAAGCGAAAATAAAGACACAAAAATGGGACAAACACCTCCAATAGCCAAAAGCTCTAAAAATATGTGGAAAAATCTACAAAACAAGTACGTGTAATACTTTTTCAACAGGATATAAAATTAAAGCACAATTTATATACAGATAATGAAATGAAAAAGCTCTAGATACTATATAAATAGGTGTAAAATCACACGTGAACAAAGTCTTCAGCCTCTGTGCGCCGCAGTGGTGGTGTCGGATGCTTAACAGGGGAGGCCGCAAATCAGGTCTTCTGTTGGGGGCCGAAGTGGTGTTCGTCGGCTTATATCTCTCCGAGTCACTTCCCCCTGGTGTTTGGGGTTATTGGCCAACGACGTCTCTGATTTCGGCAGTGGTGTTGTTCGAGGTTGGGGAGGCAGCGGTTGGGAAGGATTAGATCGGCGTTTCCACCGACGATGGGCTACGGTTGTCCATCTGGGCTCGGAGTTGTTTGGGGAAGGGTCTGGCTAGGCATTTTGTAGTTTTTGGAGCGTTTTCCCGAGGCGTGGTTCGGCCCGTTTGGTGGTCAGTTGTGTGGTCGTCGACATACTCTTGATGCGTTTTGTTCAGAGGAAGGGCTTGCGTAGTTCGTAGGATGTTTTTGTGTTTTATTTCGTTGTTATCTGGTTGTTTTGTGTCGTATGTGCCAGTGTTTATGTTTTGTTATTGTGTTTTTGGTCTGGGCCGTTGGCCTCAGTTAGCCCGAGTGTGACCTTATTATGTTTCAAATTTATATTAATTTATTAAAAAAAAATATATAATTGACCATTTCGATCAACCAATTCTGATCTTTTTTTTTTTTAAAAAAAATTACATTTTGTTATATTGTAGACTATATATTAACTTATTAAAAAAACATATAATTGACCATTTCGATCAACCAATTTCAATTGTTTTTTTTTTAACCTATCAATAGCCAAAAGCTCTAAAAATATATTTAGAGCCAAAAAAAAATTATATTTTGTTATATTGTAGACTATATATTAACTTATTAAAAAAAATATAATTAACCATATATTTTTTTTAAAAAAAATATATAATTGACCATTCCGTTTAGTTGATCGATACTCGATTCAATAGCAAGTTCTCAGTTTTCAAAACAATAGTGGTTGATATTGTTTTTATTTATATTTTTTAATTTTATCAACCTTTACAATTCCATAATTATAATAAAATTTTAAAAAATATATTTAAAATATTATTATTATTTAATTAAAAATTATTTGAAATATAAAAAATATTCTAATAGTAATTGATTATTTTTGTCTCAAAATCAAATTTTTAAATCAAATATTGTTATATACTCACGACATAAAAATTGCATCAAAAAATAGTAAAAAATTACTTTTTCAACATTTGCAACACTGGTAAATTTTCATATGTAATTTTCTTTTTTTTTTCAACCTATCAAAGATTGAATTTTTACCGGGTGAGAGTTATTTTTGCAACGGGCCAATCCCATGGGAGTTGGGACGAAATTTGCCATTACCGCTCTTCAAAATCAAACACACACTCATCATCCGTGTATTGACTTTCCAATTTGACTTTTCTCTCTCTCAAATCTCAAGTCATAATATATATATAACCACCAAATCCCCCAATCTTCAAATCAAAATCCTCAACTCCCTAACCCCCCCCAAAAAAAAACAGCGACAGACAAACAAATCGAACAGAACCCGACCTTCAGTTTACCTCCGGCAATGTCCGAAATCGAAATCCCGCCGTATTTCATCTGCCCCATCTCTCTGGACATCATGGGCGACCCCGTCACCGTCCCCACCGGCATCACCTACGACCGGGACAGCATCGAGACGTGGCTCTTCACCGAGCGCCGCCCCACCTGCCCCGTCACCAACCTGCCCCTCTCCGCCGCTGCCGCCGCCGACCTCACCACCCCCAACGTCATTCTCCGCCGCCTCATCCAGTCCTGGTGCACCCTCCACTCCGCCCACCGCCTCCCCACTCCCAAGCCGCCGGCCACCCCTTCCCAGATTCACAAGCTCCTCGCCGCCGCCGCAAACCCTTCGACCCAGATCGAGTCCCTCCAAACCCTCAGATCCATCGCCTCCCAGAGCCAGACGAACCGAATCTCCATGGAAAACGCCGGCGTCCACGATTTCCTGGCGTCGCTTGTCGTCAACGAACCATACGGATCGAAAAAAGTACGCGAGGAGGCTCTAGCCGTTCTCTTCGCGCTCCAACTATCCGAATCGGGCCTCGAGTTCCTCGCCCAAAACCCAGAGTTTCCCCAAGCCCTGGCGCGGCTCCTCCCCCACGCCAGCTACGAGTCGCGGGTCCACGCCGTCGTGATCCTCAAATCGGTCCTCGAGGCAGCCAACCCTACCCGTCAAATCCACCTCCGGCACGAATTCTTCCTCGAGCTCGCCCAAATCCTCCGCACACAAGGCGTTTTACAAAATGCCTCAAAGGCAGTGCTAAAGATTATACTCTGCACCTGCCCCTGGGGCAGGAATAAGGTCAAGGCTGTCGAGGCCGGGTTGATGCCGGTTCTAATCGACTGCCTGCTCGACTCGACCGACAAACGGGCTTGTGAGCTTCTGCTAATGGCTCTGGACATTCTTTGCCAGTGTGCGGAGGGGAGGTCCGAGCTGATCAAGCACGGTGCAGGTTTGGCTGTAGTCTCGAAAAAGATACTCAGGGTTTCGAATGCGGCCAGCGAGAAGGCGGTTCGGATTTTGCACTCAGTGTCAAGGTTTTCAGGGACTCCTGGGGTTTTGCAGGAGATGCTGCAGATCGGTGTGGTGGCAAAATTGTGCCTGGTGCTGCAGATGGATTGCGGGCCGAAGACAAAGGAGCAGGCTCGGGAGATTTTGAAGATGCATGCAAGGGCATGGAGGAGCTCGTCGTGTGTACCAACTGGGTTGGCCTCGGTTTACCCATCTTGAGATGGCGGAAAAACAATGAGTTTTGTAAAAAGATGCGATTTTTGTTATAATCTAGTTAACACACTCACACACACAGTGTAGATGGTTTTGGTATTAGATGATTAAGGGATTAGTTAAGGGGGCGAAGAAAGAATTTGCCCAAATTGGAATGTTATACTGAGAATTGAAATACAGCAATACAATTTTGTTGAGAGATACATTGCTCAAAGGAAGTGAATTGATGAATTTGATCCTCAGATTATTTGATGTATCCTCGTCTGTTATAGCATTGTTTTCATGTTGTGTTTAGGTTCAAATTTTGTCGATTTCATTACGATCGATCGTTTTTGGACGGAATCAAAACAATGTTGGAGGCAGGAAAAAGAAATAGAGGATGCTATTGTCTTGGTTGTGGACAGTCCATTTAAAACGAAGCATGGCAAGAAGGGGAGTGTGATTTTTATGTCCTGCTCTTTGGACACTGAATTTTGAGACACTATCCGTCTTGATTTAATATGGAGGTACACCGAGTGGATTTCAATGTGCCTGTTTCGAGTGTTTTCACAAAAACAACTGTATACATTTTAGATAATAAAATTGTATACATTTTTTTGGGAAAAAAAAAAAAAAAAAAAAAAACACAAATAATCAGGACCTGAAAAGAGCATCAAGATTGATCAACGGACTTAACAATGGGCTCACATTTCCATCCAACACCGCCGGATTATTCCCAACTGCCCCCGCTACAAAGTCGCCATTATCGGCCCGCGGCGGCGGCATAATTTGATGATCACCTCGCAACACCCCATCCGAACCCGGTGGGCCCCACAACATTTCGTCTCGAGATGAAACAAACCCTTCCTCGTGACCCGGCAACGGCGCCAAAACCGATGCATTTTCTTCTACCGTGCCTCCCATCTCGAAACATGTATGCCGTTGATCAATCACCCCGCCCAAGCATCCAAAAATCCCGTTTTCGTGAGGCAAGCACGGGCCGAAACAACTATACGGGCCCAACAACCCGGCTTGCGGACCACCAATCCCGACCCCATCGGAAAGATTCGGCGGCGGCCCGTGATCCGAATCCCGACCGGCCCGCGGGCCCGGGTTGACGAAATTCGCGAAAACAGCGGCTAGGTCGATAGTAGCATTGGGACCATTCGAGACCGGTTCACTTTCGTTACCATTGTTAGTATTTTTTTGGTTGGATGGTAGGTTTCGGGAGGAGGTGGGCCCGTTGGAGGAGGAGCGGCGGTGGCAGGTCTTGCGGCGGCAGCCGCCGCCAATGGGCACGTTGCGGAGGGAGCCGCCTTTGGTCCAGTACCTCCGGCAGGCTTTGCAGAAGAAGCGTGGCTGGTTGAGGTTGTAGTTGTTGTAGTAGCAGAACTTGGTGTTGGCCGAGCCGCAACGGGGACAGGCTGGCGACAGCTCGGCGGGGGCGGGCTTCCACTGTCTGTCCATGCATCGGCCGGTGAGCAAGAACTCTTTTTCTCTCTCTCTCTAGAAGTTAGAGAGAGAGTGGTTCTTGTAGAGGCCATGCAGTGATGGATGCACGTGTGGTGGAACAAAGTGTACAAGAAACTAGCTCCGGTGTCGGTGGCAGGGGACACGTGGAGGGATGGGATTGGGTTTGTGAGGGAGCAAAGGCCTCGAGTATTGCTTTGTGGGCTTGTGAGGAGATTTTGTAGGGAGATTTCAGTGTTCTCCATATAATTTGTTTATTCTATTTTGATGTATTAATTGTTTTGTTTTGTTATAAATTATTTAACTATTACAATATTTATGTATTACACATGTGCTTGTTAAAAAATATATTTTTTAAATTTTTAAAATTAGTGAGAAACATTATTTTAAATTTTATTTACCTTTTAACAACAAATATATATTATTATATATTTATTAGAATATTCACTTGTGAGTTGTCCCACATTGTTTATATAGAGAAAATAATATAGGAAAAATAAGTCTATTTTCCATATATAAACGATGTGGGACAACTCACAAATGATATTCTAACATGCTCCCTCACTTGTAAGTCCTTCGAAAGCCCAAACTCAACTGGGCTGGGTACGTCATCGCACTGTCACCAATAGAACCGGCTCTGGTACCATGTAAGAAACGGGGGGAAAATGGAAACGGGTGCAGTCCGCTCACTTCACTCGGTCGCTCCGCTTTCCTCGCTACGTTCGCTCCGTTACGCTCGCAGGCATCAGTCTGCCTCCTTCCTTTGTCAATATATGAGCCATATCAACAAAGCGCACCATAAGCGGGAAAAGTTGATCCCTCGATTATTTATAAGTATAATGGGCTACTCATCCTTCCACCAATTGGTTTTGGGGTGGAACCCCATTTGGAATTCATCTGGGTTTTCCCGCTTATGGTGCGCTTCATGTGAGTGAGACCACACCCGTTTCTGTTTTCCCTCCGTTTCTTACATGTTATCAGAGCCGGTTCTATGGTGACCGTGCGATGACGTACTCGCCACTCGACTTAGTTGGGCTTGGGTTCCCGGCTCCGTATATGGGCTTGGGCTTCTTAAGAAGGACTCACTAGTGAGGGGGTCTGTTAGAATATCACTTGTGAGTTGTCCCACATTGTTTATTCAGGAAAAATAGGCCTATTTTCCATATATAAACGACGTGGGACAACTCACAAGTGATATTCTAACAATATTTTAGAATAACACCTTACTTATGCGACTTACATGTTTTATATTATAGTAATTTTTATAACTTATATCATATAACTACTTGAAATATAAATATATTAATTGATAAATAATATTATTTTTTAAATTAATATTAAAAATAATTTTATTATTGTTACAATGATAAATCTTATTTTTTTTATACATACAATATGGATGTTAAATCGAAGCTCATCAAGAGATGATTAGTTTCATATATTACATATGTAAAACTGATAAAAAATACAAAAGTTATTAACTTTAAAATATATTTACGGTTCAATTAAAATTTATCCAAGCTAAACGAACCATGTAAGTTTGCCATATAGGAACTCGAGGAACTCGAAGAATGCGAGTATGCCACTTAAGCTCAACACATTTTAAAATATAGGGGATGATTTTATTTGTTATATATTGACAAACTTGGATATGATGTCATCAAATTACTTGATTCTAGTGCCACATACTCCTTCCGTTTCGAATTATAAGTCGCTTTGACTTTTTCGGTACATCCACTTTGCTATGTATCTAGATAATAATATGTCTAGATACATAGCAAAATGGATGAATAAAAAAAGTCAAACGACTTATAATTTGAAACGGAGGGAGTATTAATTTTGGGATTAGAGAAGAGATACATAAGAAAAATGAAATAAGGGTTGTGATCAACGAGAAGTTCTCACAGGCGTCTCGCACAAGCAATTACATCATCGCCTAGACAAGTTAACTTGATTGTTCTTAGTCATCTTAATTGACGTGTTTGTACGTTACACACTAGACATGGCCACAGAACCAGCCCAGAACACTTTAAGGGTTCATTTTTGACTCGTCAGAAGGGGCGGTCTCGTTTTCCGAATGGTCGTAGCTGTTTTTGTATTTTTTAATGAACCGTCGGGTCAGGCCAGTTGCGGACCCAACATTTGAGGCCGCCGACCTGGGCCGTGAACTGGCCCGACATTTTGCCACGTCTAATACACACTAAGAGGGTGGGTCGAATTAAAAAAAAAAAAAAAAAGAGAGAGAGAGAATTAAATAATTTTTTTTGTTTTAAGATTTTTTTTTTCCCAGTTTGGATTGTGTTTTATCAGTTTTAAAATGTAAATTTTGTGATTTGTAGATATGTGGAAAATTATCAAGCAAATAATGGTTGCTTCACGAGGACTGTCTTGGATCATGAGCTTCTTGGATCCTGGAAATTTTGTCTATCCTATCCCCAAATTCCAGATTTAAATCGTAAGTAATCAAATCATTTTCAACTTAAATTTCCACATCATTAATATTTATTTATTACAATAATATCATTATTATTTATTTTATTTAAATTTATGTAGATATTCACCAATCAACTATTTATCTAACACTAGTACAGATCCCATGCGATGCACGGAGTGCACAAAATTAAGGTCATTTATCAAGTCTTATAATTATATAAATGAATAAAGAAAAATGTATGGGATATATAGTACGTACGTGACCTGTAATAGGCCAAAATGTGAACACAGGTGATGCACGGGGTGCATAATTTTAAGGTCATTTATTAGTACAGAGTCCGTGCGATGAATGAGGTGCACAATTTTTTAGTATGTGTAATACAAATACATACTATATGCATGGGACATAAGCACTAAATGAGTTATTTCCACAAAGCTTGCCCGTTAAATAGCTCCTGAACACGGGTGCACAATTTGTAGTACGTACTATAAAATCAGAACAGATTTTCATACAATTAGATAATAAATTAGATAATAAATAAAGCATTTTTTTATTTTAGTAAAGATTTTACGTACTTTTTTTTACTTATCGGATGTTATGGATTTTTTTTGTTAAACTGATTTTATGGGATATAATACAAATACAATTAGAGGATTGAACAAAATCAGAACAGATTTATATACAATTAGATAATAAGAAGAAATTAGATAAGGAAAAGAAGAAATTAGATAAAGAATTTTGAATCTACCTTTTTTTAGTATAGATAGACTTTACGTACAAATTTTGACTTCACCGATTTTATGAGATTTGTTTTGACAAAATCAAAGACGAACACTGAAGACTGTTTCTATTAACATTTACAATGTGTATTTAATGTTTTTTGGGGCAAAATATTATTTTTAAGTGTGATATATAAATAGTAAAAATACTTAAAATATTTTATAACATCTATAAAAGCATCTAAAATATTCTATATTATTCACAAATAATGTTTGAAGCTACCTAATTTTTTCTAAACTACCCGTAAGGAAAATATGTCTAAAAATTCTTCATTTAACCTCCATATATGTATATATATAGAGAGAGCAAATGTGTAAAAAAATTTATATAAATAATATTTAAAAGTATCTAAAATATTAGTAATTAGACAGGTGAAATTTAGATTTTTAAAAAATCTATATAGATAATGGATTTATAGTAGTAATTAAACTTTTATTTATTTACCTTTAAAGTTGTTACGATAGATGAGGGATGTGATTTTTTTGACTCGTGGAGATGGAATTTTATAAGTTGGGTTATAAAATTTTCTTAAACTCGTCCATATCTATGCGATGAGTTTTTTAAGCTGGGTATATAGATTTAAAATTGTAAAAAAAAAAGAAAACTTACATAAATCATTTGATTTGGTATTTTTGGAGAGCTTCATTAATTTAAAAGTGTAAAAAAAATAAATAAATAAATTACAACTGAAAAAGGTACAACCAATTGTATGAAGAATTAAACTAAATCTAATTTTGTAAGATGCATTAAATATTGATTAGATTTTATATGTAAAATAAAATAAAAAATAACTGGAATAGTTTTACGTGTTGCAATATTTTATATTTAAAAAAAAATTAAAAAATTTTCTTTTATGTATTACATACCAACATTTTAGGAACTACATGGATATTCCTAAATTAATATTGCATACTCAATATTTTAGGAACTAATTAAATGCTAATTTGATTTGCATACCAAAAATATTAGATTTATTAATTAAATGCTTGATAAAAATAGCAAATCATTAATTAGGGTTGACTATTCTACATACTACATTTAGTAAATAGTATAGCTTTTAATATAAGTATAGATTAATATATAAATTGTAATATAGGAAAATGCTACAGTCCTGTTACGGGACTATTCTATTTGAATTTGTAACCGTTGGATCATCATGTAAATAATAAATCTAACGGTTACAAATCCCAACGGAATGGTTCAAGTAATCAATTAGTGAAACCAATTAGTAATCAATTAGTGAAACCAACTAACTTAAAACCAACTGTCTGCTTTGCTTTTTGTAGTTTTTTTTTTGGTAGTTTATCTCCTGGATGGAGTTTGTACCCCTTGCATGTGATGACAAGGGGGTGGTCCAGTTTTCTGGTTCCAGTGTGTCATTTGACACTTCAGTTGTACTCTTTTGAGTTTTTAAGTTATTTATATAATTGTCGTTTGGAAAAAAAAAGACACCAACTAACTGAAATAAAGTATTAGTTATGGTAACAAATAAAATTGGTTTCTGGTTAGGGTTAGTAGACTCAAATATCTGTTATTTGGTTGGACAAAAGGCAAAGTTAAAAAGCCCATCAACACATCGAGGCCTTATTCAATTTTCATATCTAAAGCCCACTACATAACATTGCTCTCTAAAACGAGTCGACTCAACCGAGCCAGTCTCTCCAAGTGTGTTTCTTCAAATTTCCCAATCTCAAACGAACTCCTCCATCATCATTCTTGGTTGAATCCGAGGACGGTGTCGGAGCCGGCAGAAAAGAGGCTCGGCAGGATGCTGCTGGACGAG